CCGGAGCCGGGCGGCCGCGGCGTGGAGGTGTGCTGTCGGCTGCGTGGGGCCCCGCGGGTCCGGCCTCGGTCACGGAGGGACCGTAAGGACCGTGTGGTCCCGTCCCTGCTGTGGGCAGGGACATCTGCCTCGGTCGGGCCGTGTCCCCTCGCCACCCCCGGTGAGCCGCGGCCTGCGCTACCCTCCTCCCCGCGGAGGTGCGAGCGGGTGTGAGAGGCTGCTCCGGGTTCTCACCCCAAACACCTTCCCGGTTTGGTTTGGTTTCTGTTTGTCCCCCTGAGGTGGACTGCGTCTCAGGAAAAGTCTTCTTCAGCACAGAGGCGGAGCTGGGCGAGCTGAGGAAACTCAAGTCTGGAGAGCGACTGTTTTTGATGCTTAAAAAACATCCCCCACTTGCAGTTTCTAGAAATAAAGGTGCGTCACTGACTCCTTTCCTCGGGTCATCCCCTCCGGTTTGCTCGCGTGTGTGTGCAGAAACGGGAAGCCCCAGTTCGAGTCCTATTTGTAAAATTAATGCTTGGCTTATTTATTTACGAACATCTGTGGTTCTAATTGTCAGTAATCAATTCTGAAGTGTCTTTCATTCAGATAAGTATTCAGTGCTTTTCTAGTGCTGTGCATGGCTTTAAAACTGTTTGAACTAGTTATCTTACCTGCGTGTGTTCTGCTGGCACTGTGCATGTATTTGTGTAACACCAGCACCTGCCACCTCCTCCAAAAAAAAAAACCCCAAAACCTCAACAAAAAAACCCACCTCACCTTGAAACAGAAGTTTAGTTCTGGATCCTTTGTGTGCATTCTAGCAGTGAGTCATTTTCTTTTAGGCGGAAGTGGATATATCCTATGTCACTTAACTGTTCAGTATGCAGATACCTTGTAATCTCAGTTTGTCAGTGTTGGAATAAGAATTTCAAGTTAGATGGATATCTGCCTGCTGGTGGGATTTTATCTGTGAGATAGCAGATGACCTTCAGCTTTGAGGATCAAATTTAACCATGATTCTGAAATTTAAAATGAGATATTGAAATACTTTGATTTTTTTCTCCCTTGACCAGCTTCAAGGTTCTTAAGTGAATTAGCCTCTTGTAGTCCTCATGCCTCTCTTGTCATATGTAGCCTAAGAGGTCTACCCACAGGTGTAAGTTTAGGTGTGTGTTGGAGACTTTGCAGGATTGAAGGTGGGTTGGTGAATAGCAAGGAGAGATTTCCTTTATAAAAAATCAACTTGTGGGTTTTATTCTGAGCTCTATCAGGGATTCAGGTTTGTGTCTGCTTTTCAGCCCTGGAAAGTGTCTCACATCTCTAATCCTGGACCGAATGCTTTCTGGGGAGGATGGCTGGTCCTGTGTCCCTGGGAATGGCTCTCAGAGCTTGTCTGGTTTTCAAGAGCTGTAGAATTCAATCCCTGCACAGTTTAATCTTGCTTCTACAGAGTTTCTGATCAGAGAGATGCATGGGTCTCTGCGGGTGATGTATGTGAGTGTTGCAAGCTCAGATGTGTCTGTGATGTCTGCCGCTGTTTCGGTTCCTCGATTTGCATGTTAATGGAATCTGAACACAGTCGATGTTAACAGCTGTTCTCAATCCATACTAAATCAAATGCTGAGACTGAACTCCTTAACCTGAAACTGCCTTTTCCTCCAGGGAAAATGCTGCATGAGATTAAAAGCCTTGTCATTGATGAACCAAAGTATTGGCTGGATGGTCTCTCTATTTGGAAAAACATTCATGGGTGTGAGGAGGAAAAAAATTATATGTCTCAAGAAAACCATTTGCCTCTCAAGAGAAAATCACAAGAAGAGACAAATACTGCAACTAAAAAGCAGAAAACGGAACAGACTATGTCTGAGGCATGTCAAGTGGAAGCTGCAGAGAGGTATATGTTGCCAGAGAGAAAGATTGATCAAGACTGCTGGACTGAAAGTAAGACTTACTTAGAAGACCCTTCAAAAAGCAGTGGAGAGAAGCCTGTTGTGAATGAGAAGCTTAGTTTCAGAGTTTCGTGTCGTTGTAGTGGAGCAGTTGCCAAAATACTTCATTCACAGGTATGCTAAAGTATCTGTGTTTTAAAAGCATTTGGCAAAGGTGAAGGGAGATCTGTAGTTTGTCATTTCAACTGTTGTGTGTTTTAGGATAACAAACAGATCTAGCCTTTTCCTGTATTTTCTCAAAAAAAGCCCTTAACCCGTATTTCCCTTAAACAAGTGGAAATACAAGGGCTACTGTTAATTTCTGGTTACTATTACCCTGAATACTTTCACATCGATGTCTTCTATTGAGCCTAAGTACAGATAAGAGGTTGAGGTCACTGGGCCTGTAGAGTCTGAGGGGGTGATCTGATAGTAGCTTACAGCTATTTAAAGGGTCATTGCAAGGATAATGGAGGCAGACTCCTCTCAGTTGTGGCATACAGTGGGAAAGAAAGCACAAACTCAAAACTTTGCAGCTTCCCTGGGCTCTCATTGGGTATTGAGGAGAACTTGTTCTCCAGGAGGGTGGTGCAGCCCTGGGATGTGTCCTGCAGGAGGGGTTAGATCTTGGTCCTTGGGAGAGAATGGTGGTGTAGAGACCTCCAGGCACCCCTTCCATCCAGCCCTCTTCCCACCTATAATACCCTTCTACTGTGAGGAAAAAAAACCACCAACCCTGTGTAGCTGCAATTTATGTAGATTTCTCTTACTTGAAGTTAACAGTAATTTAACTAGATTTTTTTTTTTTTTTTCCCCTTACTCAAACTAGTACCTTGGGAAGGTGGGACACATGAGCCTGCCAGTGTTTGCTTAATTCGTGCTGTGCATTTGAACTCATACTGTGAAGGTAGTCTGAGCTGGATGCCACAAAAGCATTAAAATTGTGAGTTGCAGTTGTGCGTTCACAGATTTTCTCTTGGGTAGTCCAGTTTACAGACATCAGAAATATTTTGTGCGTAATAGGTATTTATAAAACAGTGACAGGTTTTGTTGTAACTTGGGCAGAACTTGAACTTCAGCCACACTGCTGATGAGTGACAGTCATTTTGTCCTGTGGTGTTTGCTCTCTGCCCCTTGCTCGCTTGCTGTGCCCCATTGTACTACTTCTAGTGTTTGTATGAGTTGTTCTGGGGGTAGAGAGAGGCTCTTTCTTTTTTTCCCACGTGTTTCTAAGGATTGTGCAGTCAAAGGCTATCATTTGTAGTTTTCTTAGTTCTGTTAATTTTGCTGCCTGTGACTGTTCTTCCCCCTTGCAGGAGATTGGAAGAGCTGTTGGCATAACGCTCATGAAGCAGTTTGGCTGGCGGGCTGATCTGCGGGACCCCGATCTAGAGGTAATGGTGCTTGTCTGCCAGATGGCGTGTTGATGCTTCCAGAATTGCCCATGATATCTTTTGTTTTGTCCTCTGCTCCCTTTACACTCAGGACTATGGCTGCTTCTTGGGTTTTTGGTGCTGAATTTAACTAGAAATCATCTGATAGTGCTGAACAAAGCTTTTTGGTCAACACTGTGTGTGCCTTTGAGAGCACTGGAATACCAGAACAGCCAGTGTCGGCCTGTATGTCGGGAAGGATCCATACAGGAGATGTCTCAGCATCTGCTGGATTCTGTGTTGGAAATGGAGATCACCTGAGCCAGTGGGCAGCTTGTTTAGCCTCTGTAGGGGAAGAGAGCGAGTAGGAAGGCTATGTCCTTAATGAACTGGACTTGTGCATGCTGTTCATGGAAGAGCCTCCTCCTAGACTGACCCTGGCAAGGAGCTTGATGCAAGCTGTCTGGAGACCTTGGAAAAGACTCATTGCTCTTGACAAGCCATTTTTCCATCCCTGTGCTTCGTATATGGAAGCTGCTCTCTGCACTGATGCTGGGAGGTCTGAGGCTGTCTGTAAAAACTCTTGAGTTCATGTACTGGCTCTGGTTTTCCCAGGCTGTTCATTAAGTACAGCTTTGTTGAGCCTCAGGTGGGACTCTGGTTTCAGAGCAAAAATCTGGACAATTCAGGTTCTGAGGACTGGGATATTGCAAAAGCATTGTTTTTCTTTTCCTGGGGAGGGATTGCAGTCATGCAAGACCTGTTGGGGGCTCAGTCATTTTTGGGGATGCTCCTATGGGACAGGAGGACAATTTGTTTGAGCTGGCTGTATTTCTGGAAGGGTTACACACATTTGTCTTCCATATGAAATGCCCCTTAGTGGCGCTTATGGGGATTTTTTATTGGTTTTGTGTTTGGATTTTTTTTAAAAAGGAGGGGGGTATCTGAATAGCTGAGTGCTAGTATAATATTCTCCTGCTTAGAGTATATGGTTTTATGATTAAAAATATTCAGTGTTAAAAAAATTGGTTCTGTAAAGATTCAGGTGCTTGTTGGTGGATTCTTGACTGACAAAATTCACCTCCCAGCTTGGTTAAACAGTAAATCCTCTGTAAAGTGGCATTCAGATTATCTAGCGTGATTTCTTCCCACTGATCATAGTTGTCTAAAGTGTACATTTTTGTTGTGAAAAACTAGGATCAGAGGTTTATAGAAAAACCTTCTGTGTCTGGTGTAAATGAGTTAAAAGCTATTGTCATGTCAGGTTGAGAGTTTCTAATGTAATTTTTTTCATCTTTCAGATCTTCATACATCTTAATGACATTTACTCAGTGATAGGGATTCCTCTTTTCAGGTAGGCATTCTCCTCACCAGATTTGTCTTGGTAGGGTCAGAACAGGCATTATTTCTAAATAGTCTTGCTGTCCACTGTGAGTAATTATTTTCTGGTTTAATATTCAGTGGACTGCCACATTAGTCTTGTGGTCTGTCTGGAGCTTATCTGAGCATGTAGGCCAGAACTTGTGGTTAAGTTATGAATAAAAGCAGGCTGTTTTCTATCTGTCTGCAGAGCTGTACAGTTCATTTCTTCCTTCATATTACATGGGCTTTTCTTGTGGTTGTACCATTGTTTTACAATGTGTTGCGTTTTGTTTGGGTTTTTTTCCTGTTTTCAGGCTTTCATTAGCAAACAGAGAGTATATCAGAACAGCAGGACTGCGGTCAACAATTGCATGGGCCATGGCATCTCTGGCTGAAATCAGTGTAAGTGGATATTCATGGCAAAGAAATAGAGCCTTGGTTGAAGGGGGTGTTGCTGCTCATCAGGGTTGGAGCTGGAAGCTCTGAGGAAGTACGGTGATTTTAATGCCCTTTGCTCTGATGCATGTGCACAGGGGTTTTGCCTTATCTGTGATCAGAGTGTGCTGTCACTTGCTGTTCAACCAGATACTTGCTGTAATCCCAGGTTCTTCTCAGAAGAGGTGTTACTCCTTGTCCAGATATCAGTCTACTTTGCATGATTTTTTCACTGGCCAGGCTTCAAACCTTCTTTTGGTTTGTTTTCCCAAGGGAAACCAGAAGCGAGTGTGATCTTTTCCACAGATTAATTTGGTACCAATATCCATCTGCAGTCTGCTCCTAACTTTTTTCGTCTGTCACCTCAAGGCTGGATGCTTTGTGTTTAGTGAAACTAGGAATACTTCTTTCTGTATTCTTTTCCAAGCACATTTGGCCTGGTAAACGGGTGATTGTTGTTACTCTGAATTCATGGGCATGTGTAGGTGATGTGTACATCCCCGAGTAAGCTTGTCCTGGGGGAAGAGTCTGTCTTGCTTGGGATGCAGTAACCCCTTTATGTTTGTAGGCAGGTGCCTTTGTGCTGGATCCCATGTGTGGGCTAGGAACGCTACTGCTGGAAGCTGCCAAAGAGTGGCCTGTGAGTATCACAGTGGCAACAGGCAGGATCTTTGCAAGATGGCTTGTAGTTGCATCAAGAGAAATCTGTGCCACAGTTACACCGAACTCCATTACTGGAAAGCTTGAACCAAACTGATCTTTCTAGGCAGTTGTTAAACCTTTCCCCCACAGGAGTGTGAAGGCAAGTCCTAAATATTTGTGCCGGTGGGTGCTGGGAGCCCTAGATTTATACCCCAGGGTTTCTATGAAACTGTGTGCTTCTCCTGGGAATGGAGTTGTCAGTGGGACAGTACAGTCGGTGTCAGTATTAGAGGCAGCATTGCTGTCTGTAGCTAGCTGGGGTCTTGCTGTTAGGACATAGCCTCAATCTTTTTTTTTCAAGTCCAGAGTGTCTGGAGCAGACCAGGACATGAAAGGAGTGAAGATAGCACAGACTTCCTTCCTTCCTCTGTCTTCTGGGTCTGTGTATTGCTCTGTGTAATGCCAGTAGATATCCCAGGAAGGGGTTTGTCTCGGAAGAGCTGTGCAACAAGGCAGTTCTGAGAAGGGTTTATCAAATAAATTCACCTAGCTGTCAGCAAAATGACTTTTCTCTTTTTCTCTCAACAGGAAGCCTGTTACTGGGGCGCTGATATAAGTGATTCACAGTTAGAGGGTGCAGATGTCAATATTAGGACTGCAGACTTGATGGATAAGATTGAGTTACTGAAAGCTTCTGTGAAAGGTATGTCTGTAGGCTTTCCAAGAGAGACACGTGAATTTTTTTGTGGCTCTGGGGCTGTACAGGTAATGTAGGTTCTCCTGGGGGCATGTGTATTTGAGCTGACTGTCCTCGAATAGCTGAGTCATGACTCTGTAGTCCTAGCAAATGGGTAATTATTTGTTCTCCCCTCCCCGCCCCCTGCCTCGGGGAACTTTGGCAATAGTAAACTCGGCAGAAGACAATGAAAATCATTGTCAGACATGAGCAGTAGTTGTCTGTCCTAACAGTAAATTTATGAATACCACAAAGACTGCATACTGTGTCGGAGTTCTTTGTGTCTTACAGGAACACAGCAAGGACAAATCCAAATAAAATGTGGATTGTGACTTAAATGTACCAGAGGAGTAATAGTAGGGACTCAGTAAGCTCAGCTGAATTGTTGATGTTTTGCCGTAGGAGTCTTTTAAATGACAATGCCTTTCTCCTGGAAGAGGTTATCTGTTTGCTCTCAGTTCCTGAGCTAGTCTGTGGAGAAGGCAGTAATTTTATGACCTCATTTGGACCCCAAAGCCTGAGTCTAAATTAGTCCTTTATGAACTTCATGACAGAAAAAAGCTGGCTGTTTTTCCCTGTGCAAGGATGATGAAGTCTGCATATTTTTTTTTACCTTGCAATGTCTGTTTCTTACCAGAATGCTAAGAAATATTATTTCCTGTTTGTAAGAGTATGTATAGCTTTATTTCTTTCTTAAAAGCTGTGATGGGGCTTGGCTTCTAGACTAATGGAAGGTATTTTGATGTCAGGTTTTTCTAGTACTGCACAAGTAATTGGTGTCTTTGTCACTGGTCAGAAGCTGTTATTTCTGCTTGTCTTGAGAAAGACTGCAGGTAACTTGTCCTTCCATTTGTAGATAAAATTGTTATAAATTTCTTCTGCAAGTGTTGATCCAAGGGTGGCCTAAGCAACATCTCCAGCCAGTTCTGGCATCGAATCACAGCAGGGTTTAGGTGGGAAGGGACTGCTGGAGGCCTTTCGTCCTGTCATCTGCTGGAATAGGGCTAACGCCAAAGCTGGGCCAGGTTGCTCAGAGCCTTGTCCTGTCGAGATTTGAAGTAATCTGAGGGGTGGAGAACCAATAGTCTCATCCTCTCACATGGTGGCTGCTCTCTGGCCAGCAGAGCCCTTGTCGCTACAAGGGTGCAGTGCTGCCTCATGATCCAGACAAGTGCCTATTCCCAGAATGCATAAACTCTGGGGAGATACTTGAAAGACACCAGCTCCGACAGAATCCAAGTGATTCTGGCTGTAACCAGATTCTTGAGGGGAGAAAAGTGGGATGGAGAGAAATTTAGCATGTGTTTCCTTGCCATTCATACATGTTCATCTGAACCTCTGCGCTAACTCTTTGCAAGCTTAGCTCCTCTTTCGCGTTGTGCTTGTAAAGATGTGTGTTGAGAAGCAGCAGCTAGATTGGCACCATGCAGTCCCCTGTTCAGAGAGTCCTGCTCTCCTACCACTAGTAATGGGGAATCTGCAAGCTAAACTACACTCTCATGCATTTGTCTTCCCGGTCTGCATTGGGTTGGTAGCTTTGTCGTGCCATTTGCGAGGAAAGGTACAGAAGGAGCTATGAATCCGGGTGTATAACCTGCGAAAGAGCTGGCAGACAGTTTTGTAAGGTGAATGAGGGCACAGCTGCTGTTCATTTTTCACATAGTCAGATGTAAAGACCTGCCTTTCTTCTGCAGCATTGCCCTTGCCTTCAGAAAGCTTTGATGCTGTGATTTCGGATATTCCATTTGGGAAGAAGTTCAAGGTCACAAAAGACATACAGCTCCTACCAGATATTCTCCAGGAAATGGAGAGGTATGTGTGGCCTTTGACATGCTTGGGGTTTGGTGTAAATGTCGTGATGGCTTGTAATCCTAAGTGTTCAGTCAGTTTCAGGTTTGCTTTATTCCAAACACTCTCCAGCTCTGTAATCTGATCCTGTGCAGGCTGTGAAAGTCTGAGTCCTTTATTTTTCCCTTAGAGGCTGTTGTGGCTTGTCTGGCAAGCTCTGGAAGTGCTGATGGTCACCCAGGCTGACAAGGAATGAGCTTGTTGTATGAGCCACGCTCAAAAATGTTCTTTGCAAGGCAGAATGGAGAAAGAGGAGAGGATGACCTAAACAAACTGAAGGCATGGTGTGGTGGTTTAAGCCCTGCTGGGACCGGAGACCACGTTGCCGTTGCCCCTCCCCCACCCTCAGCTGGTCAGGCTGGCAGTGAGGCACAAACCCCAGGTTAAAATATGGAGAAATTTAATACAACAGTGTAATAAGCAATCTGAACAACAACAGTAGCAATGATGACAACAATAAACAGCAATAACAGTAAGCAGGACAAAAAATATACAGAGAAATACCACAAATGGTTACCGATCAAGCCCGCCGTGTGCTCCCCGCCACCAAAACCACAAAGGAAGAAGCTCCCGTGCCCGGACCTGACTTCAGCATGATATGAATAACCTGGCTGGAGATCCTTCCCCTCTCTGCTGGGGAAAATTAACCCTATCCTAGCTGAACCAGGACACATGGCCAGGCAAATAATGCAATAATCCTTTCTTGGTTGAGGTCTGCTTGTATAAAATCATAGGCTTTCCTTTTGGGTCCACAACTAAGCTTTCACTAGGATCTCTGGCAGGAAGGATCTCAGACCAAAAAATGGTGGTACGTGTTTTACTTTCTGTATATACTTTGTGTATACTGGCGTATCCAGCTCACCACCTGGTCTGCTTTTAGATGCCTCCTTTCCTCTCTTGCCCTGTCTGCATCAGAATTGAACCAAGGTAATAGCAGGCTGCTTTTATGGGGCAGTTCAAACCATCTGACCCTTTATTTCATTCCATGGCTGAAAATGCTCTTTCTGTAAGGTTGCTCTTCAATGGGTGTTGATGTTGCTCACCCAGCGCAGGAATGTGGTGGGAAGATGGTGAAGAGGTGAGGTAGCTCCACATAACGGCAGGGAAATATTACATCAGCTTACCCTGACCCTGCCTCCCTTTGGCCATGCTTGTCTTGTGGTCTCATTTGTTCTGTTGGGCCATCCTAAGCAAAATATTTCCTTGGGAGGGTGGAGGTGAGGAAGGGACCATTACTATGAGAGTTCCATGTGTAAGACTGTTCAATCCACTTCCTGTGAACAGAGCCAGGATAGTCTTTTCTTTCCCCTATTTCAAAGCCAAGTGTAATATTTGCTCATGTAGTAAAAAAAAAAAAAACTGCAAACAATGCTTACTTTTAATCTGCTTCCTGAGTTTGAAAGCCATTAAGGATGAGTGGAACATGGAAAGAACAGACCTTTTAAAGTTTCCAAAGGGAAAGGCCAGCTTCAGAATTGCCTTACCAACCTGAGAAGCTCTTACTGCTCTGGAAAGCAGTTCCTCTGCAGAGTGGTGGAGGCTTATGTGACCCAAATATGAGGTTTGAAGGTTATAGTGCCCTCAATCCTTGGGAGAATACTAAGAGGGAAAAAAATTGAGTCCATCTTCCGTGTTAACCCAATGGAAAGAACTCCCAAGGCTGGAAAAGTTTGCTAGTCAAGAGAGGCCCAGTTCTCCCATTTAGGAATATTTATAAAGATAGGGTATTTAAACTTCACAGGGAGATGCAGCTTATGAGTTGACCCATGACCCTGAACATGCTTAGGTGTTTATTGAATGCAGCTGGCATCTGAGTGTCAGCAGTGTTGAGTTCTGCACAGATCAAAGAATGCCAGGCAGGATGAACACCTAATCTGATTTTCTTTTCTTGCAATTGCCAGAGTACTTCGTGTTGGAGGGACTGTTGTATTGCTGCTGAGCCAAGATCTCTGTAAGCATATGGATGGCATTACCAAGTGTGCTGAAAATGACTCTCCTAATGCCGTTTCTGATAGCACAAGTGAAACTGCCACTGCAAAAGCCCTGAATATTGACAGGGATTCTTCTTCCTTGATGAATGGTGCTGAAGAATCCTTTCTCAGCAGCCGACAGACACAGTTTGGGAGTCTGGTGCCAGATGGCATCTATGGGGTTAGTCTTGGAAAGACAGATGCTTTCATATACAGATGCAGGAAGATCTCTACTGTTGGGAATCAGCAGATTTCTTGCACTATGCCAAAGTGACCTTGAATCCCGATACAGCTGAAAAGCAGCATGACAGTCATCTGGTAAAGGCCTGCTGATCCAAGCCCTGTACCATTTGTTAGCTTACCACATTTTCTGTGGATGTCCTAAGGTGCTGCTTTTCTCTTTGTTTTTTAGGAGAGGTGGAAGATGCCTGTTAGTGTTTCAGATGTTTTTACTGTAAAATACTGTAACGAGAGTCATCAAATCCTTGCTTAGGGAATGCCTCTCAGTATTGGGAGGAGTTCCTTTGGGAGAGAAAAGCTTCATTTGCAGAACTACAAAAACAAATGTGATAATACTAAGTGCAAATGGATTTTCACTTTCAGCAGGGTTGGTTTTTTTAGGAAGCACATCTTATCTGAAGAAGTCTCCAACTGTTTTTGAGGGCTGGGTGTATGCTTTACCTTGCAATCTTGTATTTTATTTTGTAGCTTGTTTCTGCTGAGTTTGAAATGTCACTATTCAGATCTCTTGGAGTGGAAAATAAACTATTTTCTGTATTAATTCTTTGCAGCGTTTACATGTGTCTGGCGGGTATGCTTTAACTTTTTAGGGTGCACAGACTTATTTCTAGCAAAAAAATTAATGCTTCTCACTTGGTAATGTTACTCTAAGGGCACTACATGGAAGATGGAAAAACTTGCCAAGTGGATGAACAATTAGAAGTGACTTCTACCTGCAAGAGAAGCATGTGGAAGAACTCTTCTGAAAAGAGAGAGGTCTATGCAAAAGGTATTTGAGGAGGAATAGTCTAATTCAAGGCTTTCCTGTGGCTGCTCACAGCAAAGTATTTTTATGGAGAATTACTGCGGATTGCTTTCTGAAGCTGTTTTAGACAAGGATTTGCAACTTGGCAAGCTGGCAGGGACTTGTGCATTGTGTTCCTCTGCCATGATTAGTATGGAGATAATCAGTAGCGTGTCTGGTTTGGTTTGGGCTTTTTTTGCCTTTCTTTTAAAGTTTGTTGTGCATAGCCTGTTGAAAGTGTTGCTTTATCTGTGTGGTTTCCACAACGGAGCCTCTACTCTGGAGATCTTAGAATTTGAAGTAAGAACCTGTGGTGCAGAGTGAACTACGGGGAGACTTGAAGGGAATGAGGATATGAGACTGATATGATCCTGCTGCTGTGAGTCCTGCTGTTTGGCTGTTACCTGGAAACATGCTAGTGCGCTGCAAGCAGGGATTTTTGGCTTAAACCAGTATTTTTGTAATCTGCCCTCCCATCCAAGTTCAGCTTTTGGAGAGGCTTTGGAGAAGACAATAATGAATTAATCACAAGAAAGGTAGTGGGTAACTTGTTCTTGCCATTAGCTGTCTGTATCAAATACGCAGAGTCAACAGTAACATGTTTCTTCTACCGAACACCAGTGTAAGTTTTTGGTAGGAGATGAAGCTTCATGTGGGTTGCTTAGTTCTTAATATAGCCCAGGGATATAAACGCTGGGTGTAACACTGTTTTCAGTGAGGGTCTGAAAGGAAGATGATGCTTGGATTTTCAGATTTTGTTTTGTTTTTTTTTTTAGTGAAGCTATGCTGACATGATAGATAGCTAAAATGTTAATACTGCAAAGTAAAACACAGGATTTAAAATCTGCTCCTGTGTCCAGAGATGTCTCCTTTGAAGACTGCTAAAATTAGGGTGAAAATGAGTTACTACTTTATAAGACGGTTGATACCACTGTAACACAACACAGTCAGCTATTAGAGGTTTTTTTTTGAGCTGAGTATTCTGCAGTGTTGCATGTCACATTTTCATTCTCATGGTTTTGTTTCCTGTGTCTCAGTAAACTTACTTGTCAAGTAATTTATCTTCATCTAAAGTCTAGTTGAGACACTGATAGCAAAATTGCTTTTCTGATTGCAGTTATTGTGATGAATGGTACACTTTGTTCATCAAAATCAGCAAAAAGACAATGGAAAGGTGAACTGTCATCTGAACTATTGCACATTATATAGAACTAAGAGCAAATGCTTAACTGAACTAACATGATAAAATGATATTGTGTAAAAGAGTGAAAGAAAGGGAGAGGGGGGGCAACAAGAGAGAGAAGTGCCTGTACTTTATAAAGCATGAACAAGGACGTCCATAAATCTCCTTACTCAAGACCAGTAATGAGCCTAGACTAAGACACTGCAAGCTTGTAAAATCATCACATTCCAGGCCAAGGGTGAAAAGCACACTGTGAGGAGGACCTATGGCCTTCCTCCCAAAGACCACCTCCCATGATTTGAAGACCCCGACCCGTAATTTCCAGCAGCATCTGCGCAAGTGTAAAGGACTGATGAGCTAATTACCATACTCAGCGGGAGTAGGCGGGTTTAGGTAATGTATAAGTATAGGCGTTTAATGAATATGCAATGCTTTGTAGTATCAAATTAAGACAAAATTCCTTGAGAGATGCGGGCCGTTGTTGGAGCAGGAGACTCCCCGGCTGCCCAGCGCTGTTTTGCTTGTTGCCGCTTGCTAAATAAAACTCTGACTCAGCCAAATTTAAAAGTCAGTTTATAACAGTTATGTGTCAGAAAAATTCTTGAATTTCACCTTCTGTTCAGTTTTCTCATCCACAGTGACAAAGAGTAAAAGTTAGTTCTGCTGTTGTACAAGTCATTTCTGTCCTTTGTGGTTTTGTATTTCACTGCTGCAAGGAATTTAATTGTGTCGGGTGGCCAGCAAAGTGTAAAAGAAGAGTTAGGGTTTTTTGGTTGTGAAAAAGAGACACTATCTGTCTACTCAGTTTCAGGAAATATGCCTGGAGTTAAATGAGGTGGTTGCTTAATTTTGTTTGCTTTGTATTTACTTAATCTCTCATTTTAGAAAAACTTGTCTGTGTCTTATTATTAAAGTGCCATTCTTATCATCCCTGTTTCCAGGCCCTCTGAAATTTATGCCATCCTTTTAGGGTCTGGGGTTCTAAGTGCTGCATGTGGTATTCTGACAGAGACCATGTTTCTCTTGTTTGCCCCCATCCGAATACCTTTGGCTTTGGTAGTAACTGCACAGAGATTTGGAGCATATTCTGAGGTGATTTGAGGTCCATTTCTTTTGTTCATATGATTAGTTTATATCATAGCACATCGTGGGGGAAATCATTGCTTTGGTTTAATAAAAGTTGAACTTCTTTTGCCATCTGACAGATCATTCATCTAGCTTGAGTGGGCCCTTCCAAAGATTTTCAGCATTTTATCACAACTGTTGGAATTCCAGTAAAAGAAGCGCCTTTTCTTTTGTAATTAGTGAGATTATTGTTCCTGCAAAGGTATCTGTTATACCATGTCTGCCTTAAATCAGTTATTTTCATCGTTTTGATTTGATATCCTACTGTTGTCACAGAGACAACAGAGTAAATATTTCCTATTTAACTAGGTAGTGCTTCTCCAGCTTGACTTAGTAGTTGGTGGATTTCTCTTTAAACTCCTCCCCACATGTGGCAATCTAGAGCTCTGGAAGGGAATTGTTCTTTTAGCTACCGGTAGAATGAGGATCTCTAGATGATTGTCCAGAGCAGACATTGTATAAATGCTGTGCTCTTTTAGTGAAGTGACTGCATTTTGACCCAGGCTTTGGTCTTTGATCTTGGCTTCTGGAAGCCCTGTGTAATGCATTCCCATTGACATAATGAAATCTCCATGCGAAGGAATTAGTTTCAGGCTCCTGCTCCTGGAAACAGGAATGGGAGGAAAAACTCTTGACTTTTGCTGTTAACTTCCTCATCAGAAAGCCTGGGAGCTTGAGCGCTTAAGGTGCAAAAGGAAACAAAAACTGAACATGTGTTTTCTTACATGAGCCTCTTTGAATTTTTTGGTTGCATTTGCCAACTCAGAAATGTTTGTTTGAAATTGTTCTTCAGCCCTTATTAATGCTGCCATCTGAAACCTGTAATTGTCAACTTCAGTGTGATTATGCTAAATGAAAGCGTAAGGCAGTGTCCTCCACACACTGAGCTGTTGTATGGTGCGTATGCATGAACCCTCAAAGTAAGAGGACTGAAGTACCGTATGTTTCTTAATCTCTCATTTCTGTGAGTTTAGGCAAGGAATTGCTTCACAGCTGATTACTTCAGAGGTATTTGATGCAATCTCATAAAGCCTGTCAGGGGTACCTAATCTTCATCCTTTGCAAGGAACCCTTGTGTCACTACAGTCAGGATGATCTAATACCCAGACTATCAAAGGCAATTCACATTCTTACTTGTGACAACACCTTCAGTGCTAATAACCCGAATGGCATAGGATGCAAAGTGATATCTTAGTCAGATTGACTTCATGTTTTCTTAAGTCACAGTTTATGCCCTTGAGGAGTTGCTATCCTGCTGTTCCTGAAGGCATTGGTGACCTGCATGAAATCAGGTTTTGTGCCTCCTTTCTGCCTTTCATGAGCCCAGGCAGATGCTGGTCCAGAGAATGGCCAGCTGGCCAGAGAGTCCCACTACCGCTGGTGTTGAAAAAAGGAAGTAAGGTCTTAAGCTGAAGGTGAAAAAGCAAGGTTTGTGCTTTTCTTCCCACGATTTTCAACAGTTCTTCAGCATCCTTTTTCTCAGGAGAAGAAATCCCTTTGCAGTGGAAGGGGGGCTGCTGCTGGGACTCTATTCCTTTGGCTGGGATTTTGCATCTTCTGCTCCAGATGTATCTTTTTTTTTTTTTTTTTTTTTTTTTTTTTTTTTTTAAAACTAGAATTGGGTGTTTCTTGACTGAAACTGGCAATGGAGACTAAATATTTTCATGCTTAAGATACAATTGTACCAAACCAGTTGAGTTCACTTATTGAAGAAAAGGATAATTACTGCCTTTTAGTGTAAGACAAAATACGCTGTTCTAAAAAATAGCAAGCATGGCAAGTGAGGTGCGAGAGGAAAGAATGTAATTGGAGAACAGTTAAATGAAACTGACTAAAATTTCAGTGAGAGGTTTTTTGGTTTTAAGTACTATGTTTTCAACCCATGTGATACACAAACCTCTACAGAACAAAAGAAATGAGGAGGATGACAAGGCAGAAAAGAACTCACCTGGAGAGAGTGTAGAGGGAGAAGAATAAAGAAGGCAAGGCTGAGCCTTACTCTCTGGGAATTGAGTACATTTCTGGAAATTCTCTTGGAGACTCTGATTAGGACTTCATTGTGTGCTAGATATGTGCTTGAACTGTCCTTACCTTGTGATTTTGCAAAGTACATAATGCCCTACAGGTCTGTTACCAGCCTGCAGGTGCTGCTCTATTAGTATGGCTAGACTTGTTGAACAATCTGGGAAGTAAAATGTCCAGACTTCTTGATTAACTTGTATTGTTGGTGTTCCCCTTCAAGATTTAATATCAGGGGGTAGGGAAGTACTTTATTCTCTGGTTTGATCCTTAAGGTCTATGTAGGCAAGAAGGGAAAGAAGTTGCTACTTTCTTCCATTTTTTTTCTTTTACAGTTCTGGAAATGATTAGAAATGTCTTTATTGCATGCACATTAAAAAAAAAAAAATAAAATCAAGGGACGCCAGTCTGTTACTATGTAGCTCCAGAA